AACAGCCAAAAAAAATGGACTAGGATATCTTCGGGTTAGTAAGAGGTTGAGGCACCTTGGGAGGTTATGATGAATGTGAGAGATGTTTAGGAGAGTTTAGAAAAGCTAGTATGTAGGTTATGTTAATGATTTGGGATATATGCTTATCCCATTCATACATTAAAAAACCAATCAAAAAGTAAATAAACGAAAAAATAAGGTTTAAAATTAAGCAATTGAGTATTCAGACATTTTTTGTTTGTAAGGTGAGTTGCAAGTCTTGGAGCATTTTAAGGCATAAGCCTTAAAATCAACAAATTGCACAAAATAAAAAAGTATTGTAACAACATCAAAGTATGAAATAAAAAATAATATATTAATATCCCAACCGATTAACATATTAAGTAACAAATTCTGTAAAGGAAGAAAGGAACACATTAATATCTTAATATCAAATCATGAAATATGAAGTGCTATACAAACATCAAAGAAAGATAAAATATCAAAATAATAACTAATAACATAATAATTTAAATTACATTCAACACAAGAAATTTCTGTCTTCCCCTTCTATTATAAATCAAAATAAACAATTTAACATGTCACCAAGCTTAGAATTTATAAATTCAAAAGTTACTGACATTCTCATCACTTAGTCTGTCTTAATTAGAATGATCGTCACAGTGAATTTCTTTCTCCCTTGCCTCATCCACAAATGTGTCAGCATTCTCCCAATCTTCCTCATTTATTTCTTGTTGGCTTGTGTTAGAAATGTTGATCTTGCTTTTATTCCCATCTAAGAAATCAACATTGAGATCTTTTGTCCCAAATCAAAAGGCATAACTTTATTATCATCATCCACAAATCCTTCATCCTCTAATGGTGTATTATTACAAACTAAGAAATCTTCATCATCCTCTAAATTTTTTTCTTCAAATCTCTATCCTTTAATCACTTGTTGTATATGATGTAATCCAAGAAATTCATTCTTAAGATAGTCAAATGATATCTCCTTTTAAAATGAACTTGATTGAAAATACTCCAGTTTCACTCACAACCAAATAAAGATAAGGCACAAAACTTTAATAGCAAATTGCTGTTACTCAGAGTGTCATCACCAAATTACATCCATCAATCAATTAAATTTGAAAGAAAATCACAATTAAAATTGAAAGAATCCTTCCTTATTTCCAATAAATGTTTAAAATTATATGAGGAACATTTTGCAATTGTATCTTTGACGTGTTGTAATACAAAAAATCATTGCATATTTTTAAATGCTACATGTTGCAAATCATCATTCACCTTCTCAATTGAGTCAACAAAAAATTTATCCATACAGTGGTTTAAACCAAATTCGATCTCCTGTTAATTGAATTGTTCTCAGCGTATTAAAATTAAGGATTAAGAAAATATCCCATGGCATGCAAATGAAGATGAAATTAAAGCTACCAATTCCCATCATTCTTTCCCAATTTTCATTGTAGTTGAACTCCTCTTTTCCTACGTTATGCGTTAACAACTCCTTAGCGTGACAGTGTCATAAAATTATAAATAAAATCCATAGGATATTTAAACCAATGGCTTTGTTATTGTTATTATATAACAAACATGTAAACAAAAACTTTCATTCAAAACAATCTTCCTAACTCATTTCCCTTCAGATTTCTTTGCCCAAGCACAATTTAGTTATCATGTAGAAGAGAACACAATCTCCAAAGGATGCTTTGTTTCCAAAATATTTTGTGAAGTCAAATAGGGCGTAACAAATCTAGATGTAATAGGCCATAAAAGTTTCTACTTAACAAATTTTCTCATCAAAATAAAAAATCCACAAATAATTACCGATGAACTTGCTAATCATCTATGCTTTGCTTAAGGCGTTCCTATGTTAAGACAACTCTTCATGTTTTTCAAAAATCAAATATGTGCAATGTAATGTACATGATATCCGATAGATATACTTTCTTATCTCCACTTATTTCAAGTATAAGTAGTAGCATTATCTGTAACAACTTGAACCACTAGAAACTCTCCAATCTCCTCTATGACTTCAAGAAGACCAAAAAATATACTCTGAATCCTTTATCTGATTTGATGCTTCAATAGGCTATAAGAAAATAATGTCATGAGGATTGTTAATCAAAATATTAATAAAGCTTCTATTCTTAAATTTAGACAAACAATCAAACAAGATAGTCACTCTAGTATATTTCCAAATTCGCATAATTTTCTCAATGACTTTCTATGTGCTATTCAGTTCCCCTTCAAAAAAGAAGGCGGTTTAAAGCCTCAACCACAGGAACATCTAGAGCATATCATGTTAAAATAAGGAAAGGTATCCATATTAATTGAATGATACTTTTCTAAAAGAATTTTCCAATATCCATATACACCAATAAGCCTCTGTAGAATTTTCAAGAGATATCTAATGGCCTACCCACGTGCTATCATCTTTCTCATCTTGTACGCCTTATAGTGAAAGGTCCATAGGTCCTCTTTCATGACCCATAAGTCTTCTTGCACCTCTACTTGATATTTGTGATAAAGAAGATCGGAAATCTGTCACTAGGCACACTTTAATAATATAAGTTGGCATCTACTACATCATCAAACTGTCATTGTGCTAAATGCTTCAACTTTATTGTTTTGTTCATATACATGGGTCCTCTCTATCACCTCCTCAAGCACATTGGCACACAAAGCAATATTCTTATAAGAGCCAAAACGGTGCTCTTTCATTCTTATCACACCCTATTTAACAACATAATGCACTAACTACACTTCATGTGGACATATATGTAATCTTCCATAAATTAAAAAGGTAAAGTTTTCAAATTTATCCAAAATAGTATGCCCTATTTTTCACACACCCTAAAATTCAAATAATTCCTCACCAATAAGAATATCACATGTCCTCTAACCAATGGTTTCACCACCAAATGGCACCACATAATGGTTATGATCAAGGCCCTCTGGTTTTGTGATTTTGCTGTGAAATAACACCATTAAATTATGATTATAGCTAGTCTGCAAGTTCCTCTTTGTGATGAATTACAGGGTGTATTTGATATTGCACAAAGCCCTCTATTAGCTAAGGATAACTTCAATTTATCCTCATAGACAAACATTAGGAACATCCATCCTAGATTTATAAGATTTTCTTAGACGAAGAAATCCATAGCTACCAACAAGGATCCATTAGTCAGGTTAGGCCGACTGCCTCCATTGACTAAGTGGACTAAGGACCATGACAACTTGGAATTAAAGAATTACAGGATCTTGATCAAGTTCGTCATCATTGCCCACATCATCTGCTTTAAGCACAAAATGATAAATTTGAAACCATATATCAAATTTGTTACTACTACACTCAAACTAGTGCTTAAAATAGAAAGTTCTCTCTTATTATCAGAAGGGATAATTAATTGAAAAAGCTTGCCCCTATGGGAAACCCGGAAATATATCATAATATTCTTGCAAAATAAGGATCAAATATGTAAGTAGTATATTATCTTTCAATCTAATATGCTTTCTGAAAATTTGACTGGGCAACATTCCCTAAAACTTTCTAAAATAGAGAGGTTGAGGCGTGAATGCCTTCTGCAAGGACTTTAATGGATTCCTCCTTTTTTTTGTTAGATGCCTTCTGCATTGAATGCACTTGGGAAGTCACAAGGGGTAATAATTATAATTAAGACGAGAGAATATACAAATACTGAAATTCACCTAATCCCACATACAAGAAAGCAAGAGATCTCAATCATCTCAAAAAAAACTAAAAAAATTAAAATAAATTAAAATAAATTAAAAAATAAATAATAATAAAAAAGATCTCAATCATCTCACAATATAAATATAAAATTCTGTCAAATTACTTCCTCCTAAAAATAATCCTAATAAAACTCAATCTATGATTTACAATGATAAGGATATTACATACCATATTATGAGAACTTTATTTTAGGAAGGGATTTATTTCTACAATTTTAGCAAAAAACATCACCTTAATTTATGGAGGTTTATGGAAATAAACAAGCTATTACATAACAGGTAAGACTTGCACATTGACAGGTCATGTCCCATCAAATGAATTAGTTACGATTCAACAACCGGCTACATGCGCCACTTTTAGGTTTAAATTTCATACTGGGTGATTTGGATTTATTGTGAATCGTGATTTTTTTTACATTTCAAATGGGTTAGTGACGAGTATGGCATCACATGAACTTTCCAGCAACAAAACTTAAGGAAACACTATTTGCTCCACAAAATAGATCACTCAAGGCAATTGAGTGTGCAAAGTTCATGGGAAGGGGCTTGGAAAAAATAGGCAAAGAACAAGGAAAAAATAAAAATCAAGAAAAAAGAAAATAAAGCTTACCAACACTTCTGTGTAAAATGAAGAAATTTGAGCAATTTTTTCAAATAGTTGTCATCTTTTGAAAATTTAATTTTTATTTTTTCAAGGGAGAATATTTTATTTAAGATAAAATAGGAAGGAAATAAGTTAAAAATTTAAATTCACATTGGGAGCCAGAGAATTACTTCCAAGTTGCACCCGCCAGGTCTTAAACACAAAACTAAATAACTTAGAAACCGAGGAGTCTACCGTTAAGCCCAGGCCCCATGGTTGAAAAGTTGATTTTGATGTTTGTTGTGGCTGTGGTTTTTTTGTTAGTTCTGCTACACTCCCAAGAAGTTTGATTAGACCAACTAGGGGGGAGAGAGGATTTTAGGGCCCAAGCTCCACTTTCTCTCAACTCCACTCTTGCCATGAAAATTTCAGGGAGGTTATTTAAATAGCTTCTTGCGAGAATTAAGTTTTTTTCCATTTCATTGGTGTTTTATAACAGATGCTCTAATTCTTTTGCTGTTGAATTTGATTGTAAAGTATAGTTAAACAATTACTTGAAAGAACTGCGAACATATAGAAGAACTAGGCATGCAAAACACAATGAAACTACTTAAGTCTAGCATAAGCAGCTCTCATATAAGTTGATATTACACTTGTCACCTGCCTGCACATATATACGGCCCAGCACGAAGCATCACCAAAAATCCTAATTCTTGTGTAAGGTTTAGAAATGATTCAATATTTGCAATGCCTTCAAAAACCCACTTCTGGGGCGAAGGCTCATGCAAGTTCCACGCAACATATGTCTGGATGGCATTCAAGCCCAATGCTTTTGCTCTTAGCAGTCTATCTTCCCAATACTGCATGAATTTAAAAAAGCATAGTAATAAATAAAAATTAAGATTAAATTTTCACAATAAAGACAAGTACAGGGGCGTAAACACAAATGCATACATTGGAGTAAGGAACGGGCATAATAAACAAATGAGTGAGAAGTTTCTGATAAGAGTTTATATCATCAATCAAACTACAATAATATTGGTCTTGAGGGCACGCTTATAGAAAATAACTCCACAAACAATGGCTACACGTAAAAACAAGTAAAAAAATAGCTAAAGCTAATTTCTTTAGTTGGTACATGCAAAGTTTAACTTCAATAGAAATTTTTCAGAAGTTGCACAACGATGTCTAGATGCCGTTTTGGTTGGTCGAATTGGAAGAACTTTATGCAAAAAGATTACTTCGAAAAAAACTTTCTTTGTCTAGCTATCATCTACAATCATTACTTAAAGTAATGTGCTCCTCTGAGCACATTTACCTTATCATATACAGCACAAAGAGAAAATAAATAATATATTATGCTTTAGTGTTTTACTTAAGCAATTTAATGTTTTATTGATTATAATTATACAATCTATTATATTTTATGCTCCAAATAACAAGATTAAAAGCACAATACATTACATAAAATATGCATACAGGATTCTTACTAAAATCAACATTCAAATTTCTAACAGACTATGGTAAATAATCATTATAATTTAGAATTTTTATTCAAAGCGCAGGAAAATTAAAAAAATTCAAAATTTGGAGAAGATACTTTAAAAGAGAGTGAAGAGAGAAAGCAATCTTCTCTTTCAAGTCATTAAATGCGTTTTATACTTTTATGAACAAAATCATAATAAGTTTTTGGTATTTGTTCAATATCATAATACATTTCTGAAAGATTCATCAAACATGATGAATCATTAGATAAGCCGGCAGATGTGCTGAATAAACCCAATGTTATATTCTCCTCAACTTTAGTGTCTTAATACATTGAGGTTCCAACGTTTTGCGGAAGGAAAATAAATAGAAAGAGTTCACGCAGAAAGGTACCTCAGGAAGAACACGAAAATAATGCAAGTCCCCGCCAATGATCCTAAAAGGCTGTCCGTCTTTCCAGAACATGTCACCAGCTATTTTGAAGCCTCGAATATTGTCCTGGTTCATTAAGGAAAACATTAGAGACACATATTCATCACAACCAAGTAGCCCTCATTTAGAATCAAATACACAATTCATATTTACATGCATGCAAGCATGTGAGAAAATGTGCAAACATGATGCAATACTCAAATTATGAAAAAGGTAATAATAAAAAGTTATAAATTTTTAGATCTCATTTCACACCTATATTAAGTATATAAATCCAATTAAATAAAGTAGGAATAAAATCAATTAAACAAAAGTTAAATATTACTGTAACTGAACTAATACACTTTTTTCCCAATTCTAATAAGAGCGCATCCGTTAGCTGATTCGATAAATGAATGGATATGATGTTATTAAAGATATAATGATGGGGACATCGACAAGAGGTTTTGACGCATTTATCAGAGGCAACACAGGAGATCGATGGCCATGATGGAGAGTCTTTACTTTTGATGAATTTTTTATATTAATCATTTTATTTCAGTTTTCCGTTTTTGCCCTTATGGGTAGTTGGTCACTATTGTAGCCCAAGGAGCATTCTAGTCTTTTATTTTCTTTGTCATTTTGAGGTCTATATATGTGGCCATTTCTTATGTAATGGGATGATGAATATTTTGAATAAATTTTTTTTTCTTCTTCTTCATCTTGTGTGTGCACTAGAGAGAAGAGAGAGAGCCCGAGGTAAGGGCGAGCGCAATACCCACCAGTCATTGGAAGAGTCTATGACTCGTGGTCTACCACCTTCATCCCCGTTCTTCTTTTCTTCCCTCACTCGCCGCCGGCCCTAGCTTTTCCCCAAGCCACCGGCCACATATCCTTCCCCTTATCCCTCACATCATTTCACCCACTAGATTCCCCACTTCAAATCCAACCACCATCAAGGCCCACCTCAACCCGACGGTGACATCTCCTCCACCCTTTGGGCCGCCAGCAACCCTCATGGTCCAAGCCATTATGATGATTCAAATCTTCATAATGACTCCCTATTTGGGTTCTTGCAATAAAGGGAGAAGTTAGCAAATTTGAATTTCAAATTTGAAATTCAAAACTTTCCATATTCGCAAAAATCAAAATAAGGAAAGTTTTTGAAATTGAATCCAATCCAAATTTCATGTAGAGTGAAATTATTATTTTCGTTTGGAAAGTATTTAATCACTCCCTAATCCCCTCCTTCTCCCTATTGATGCCGCCGGCTATACAAAGGGGAAACCCCCTCTTGGTTTCCAAATGAGACCCCTCCTCTCATTAATTTGATTTTCAAATTTCAATTGCTTCCCTCCAAAATTACTCAAAAATCTGAAATTAATTTCAGATTTGGAGTAAATCTCTTTCTCCTACATCTAACCTAAACTTCCTCACCCAAACCACCCGTCTCCTCTCTCTCTACCTTGGCCGCCCCTCTTCTTGCTCCCTCCATAGGGAAGTTTTGAGTTGCTCATAATATTTGAAGCCAAAAGAAGAAGATGACACCCTCTCCCCATCTCTTCGATGATGCATAGCCAATCCCGAGATTGACCACGGCTTCGTCTATGATAATCAAGGAAGAATGGATCTCCTTGGTTCACCTTTCTTTGATGTGAATCTCGACGTCGACGAGACCGCCAACGGATACATCCGCTGCATCTTCTTCACGCTCATGCCTTCCGTTGAAGAACATATTCCCACCGGATCGTGTGTAATCACCGGTCGATTCACTCCACCACCGACGACCTTTCCGTGGATTAAGTCTCTTAGTGTTGCCACCTTCCTAGTTGCATCGTTGGGTGTGCTGAAGACCTTTCTCCGCTAAGCTGTACTTTGAGCGTGAGTGGGTATGGTAACTCATCGTGAACTTTCTAAATATTAACCGTGGGATTTTATTACAACATATTTGTTTTTACTGTGATAATTTCAGATCTATATAAATTTGTCCTAAACTTCTAGTCTTGTAATTGCTTACCATAATAAAATTGATGATTGAGAGTTTTTTAATCTCGCCTTACGAAACATTATTCTTAAGAAGCAAGCATCATGTTTCTTTTAATATTTCTGTGCAATTCTTGTTTGTCTCACAACATATTTGGTATAAGAGCATAGTAGGCATGCATGACATGTACTAGAAAAACATCCTAAGGTCTAGCCAAACATTAGTCCTAAAAATTTGCATGCATATCATCGCCTAGATAATTTTATTTCACTGTTTTCATTGCTGCTCATGCATTTACTGCACGCATTTAGTGGCGTTAAGTCAATCTATACAGTGTCTTAGTGCTTCCATCAAACCCAAAACTCTTCTAAGGGCTTAGGATAATGACACCCTTAGTGTAGGCTGCTGTCCTTACTGTTCCAGCCACATTTAGCTGCCATTTTGTAAACTTAAAGTCATGCCTAGGTGCTGTTCTCACCCTAGCAGTATCCCTATAACACTTAGGCAACTTCCCCAACTGCTGTAGTTTGCTATCCACTCAAAATTATGCCTTGTTTGGTATCATTTAAGTGAGTCTAACCTTCAATTTGGGTGCTGCCCAAGCCTTAGCAACCACCCTAAACACCTAGTGACTTAAAACGCTAGTGTAACTTGCTGTCCAAACCATTCCTACACCATCTAGTGACCTTTAGGTGAGCTTGGTTAAGTGGTTAGGTGCTGTCCTCGACTGGTTAGGTGCTGTCCTCGACCCCAACAACCATCCCAAATGTCTAGATCACTTAAATCCTTCTTGTAGCTTGCTGTCCAGTATTTTCCTGCACCATTTAGCGAGTCATTAGGCATCACTTAGTGTTTCCCAATGGACCCGATAAGACTCCAAAGGAGGTTAGAAGACATCGTTAACCTAGTGGGCTCTATGACTAGAATTATGATGGAGAAACATGTTCACTCTCCCCACTCTAAGTACGTGCCCCATTCGATTAATCCTGCTAGTCGAAAGATGCCCCACTCTGTTTTTCAACCTAGACCTGATTTTAAGCAACAACGACTAGAGTCACATGACCATCTACCCACCTTTGATGGTTCCTTGGACCCTTACTACTTTAGGGAATGGGTTAGACAATTAGAGGATTATTTTGAATCACATCATATCCCTAAGTCCTACAAGGTTAGCATCGCTAAGTCTCACCTCAAATGTCAGGCTCTTCGATTTTGGATAAGATTGGAAGATCATAAAGAGTCTCGTGGTGAGTACCCTACATGGAAAGACATGAGGCGAGAACTTAATTTAAAATACCGACCCTCTATCAGTGACCGCCATCTAGAGCACCACCCTACCTCTTTTGTTGGAACAAACTGTGGACATCACTGTGGTCGAGACCACCCATCTTTTAGTAACATCAGGGTAGCTGCCCCACCCTGTAGGTCTTCACCTAACCTTGATGGCCGACCCTCCATTGGGTCTTCTGTTGGATCAATCTCATATGACTCCCCCCTTGGACCCACTTCTAGCCATCCCAGTCAATCTTTAGCCTCCCCAGTCCTTGACCCTGCAAGTGTGATTTTAATAAAGAATTTCATTAAAAAGAAGAAATCTACTGAACCTGAGACTGAATACATCCATTTTGTGGATACTAACGATAACGAGGACTTCTTTGAGGAAGAAACTGAAGTGAGTGAATCAGCTCCCGACACGACTTAAACCCTAATCTAGGAAAGTTAGAACCTTTAAACGTTGACACCATAGCCCACCCTGGTCCTAGTCTCCTCAAGGATTAGACATTCAAAATAAAAAAGTATGAATTCAATGTTCCAAGAACTAAAAAAAAATGTTGTATATATCTAGATGTTCAAATGAAATTGAATGAGCTTAAGAAAAGTAATGTATAGGGATATATTGGTAATGAAATATATATAATAACATGTACAGGTAGTGCGACAAAAGTGAGCCCAGATAGAGGCAAAAGGGTCCTCAAAATTATATGCATACAACTTATAGAGGTAGGGAAACAACATGAATTTATAGAGGCAAAAGGGAGCTCCATACATAACTTTTAAGCTCATGATAGCCAATAAATCTACTCCCAGATACATGATATATTTTAAAGTTGAAAGAAGATCTTTTCTGTTTAGTAAAAGAAATTATAAGGAGATTAGTTTAGCACGATGAAATTTGTACACATGATTAACGTAGTATTTGCAATGTTTTAACCTCTATTAACGTAGTATTTGCAATGTTTTAACCTCTAACATTATGTTAAAAGTTTTGTTTTCAATTAGATTTTTCACTTACTGTTAAACCAATTTTTATTTAGGTAACTTCATTTTAAAGATTACATGCAAGTTACTAGACAGTTCATGAGTATAATTCAATTTCTATGATATTTGAATTTTACATTCGAATTGTTAATCTTGATGAGTTTCTATGCTCACCGTATATTATGTTGATTATAATTTCAAGAATGAAAGGATAAAGCGAAACCTGAATCACGATCACAGTTTGATCCAATACCCTATTTTTGGTGTATAATTTTAATGTAAGATAAATCCTAATCAATTATAAATTTGATGAAAACTTCAATTTTATACAAATGAATACTGATGATTATTAGAAGCTCTAGTTAAATAATGAAAAAAGTTTTACAAAACTTCCACTCAATCGATTTGTTTTAATAATTAAATTCTTTCGAGCTAGAAATTACTGTATATGTGAGCTTAGTGTTATATGTCTATGTTATGCCTCATGTTAAATTGAGAGGAGCCTTCATGGGGTGTGATATATGATTTCTATATGTTTCTAGGTTTTTTAATTTCCTAAAAAAATTTGCAAACTGCATAATGCATCCCTTATTCAAAAAAAAAAAAAAAATTGCAAACATGAGTATATATTGTTCGAAATGCAAATTAAGCATGGTAATATTATTTTAGTTGTCTTTGTCTTATTTTTTAAAGTTTATAGTTTAAATTAAATGTGACAAGTCTATGTAATTGATAGTATGAAAATGGAAGGTGTTTTCTAGTGTTTTAATTACCTGTCTTATTATTTCAAGTTTATAGTATAACATAAATGTGACAAGGCTATGAAATTGATATCCATGAGAAC